TCATTCCTTCTTTTTCTGCGAATTCAAGAAGATTATTTTCTTTCTTTAATGCTACTTTGTAGATTGATAGATAGATAGATAGATACATAGATAGATAGATATATAGATGACTTGATTGCGATATATATGATTAGATAGATATGAATAGATTGACTTATATATGAATTGATTGCGATATATATGAATAATTTCAGATAGATAGATAGATAGATAGATAGATAGACATATGAATTAATTGCGATATATATGATTAGATAGATAGATAGATAGATATATGAATTAATTGCGATATATATGAATAATTTGAGATAGAATAATTGAGATATATATGAATTGATTGCGATATATATGATTAGATAGATAGATAGATAGATAGATAGATAGATAGATAGATAGATAGATAGATAATGAACATAATTAGATATATTTGAACAAATTGAATTAGAGAGATAGGTATATAGATATGAATAGATTAAGATAGATATGAATAGTTTTAAGATATCTATATTTTCGTCCATTCATTAACAGATTATTTTTTATATAAACGATTCTATCTGGTCCCAATAGACCATACGCAACTAACTCAGACGGTAGGTGAGACATGCAGAGAGAATCGAACTGTCGACTTTGGCAATGGCTCGTCTGCGTCCCCTCTAGGTCAGGCGCCCTCTATTTAGGCCTATTCTCTGTTGTTTTTTTTTTTCTGATTTCATAACAGACCCTCAAAAGAATCTGTAATATTTCATTTGATGTATTCATCTTGGTGATGGAAAAACAATCCCTTTTTGGCTGATGCCAAAACGCATAAAATCGCAGAATCGTTTTGGGAAGAGATCTGAAAATCATATTTGCAGACTTGTAGACATTCTTCATTCAAATTCTTTTTGTTTTCTAAATGATACGGTAATGGAATGCAAAAGCCGGTTTAACCAAACCCGAAGTAAGGGAGTGTTGTAGATTTTTCAGTCGGCAACAATCGAATGAGGAATATGGGTGCTGGCAAATCAGGAGTTTTTTTTTTGGGGGGGGGGGTTCGACTCACGGTATATAAGCGGAAGAAATAAGATTTGTTTCACGTAACACTTTTATTTGTATTTCTTTTTGTTTTCATGATTTATTTGTATCTGTTTTTGTTTCAGCTTTGATATGGATGAGTTTTGTCATGACTAAGGCTGCGCCTTCGTTGTTGAATGTCTGTTGATCTGAGCGATATGTTCTTGCTAATTAATCGGCTTTCTGAAAAGTTCTCAGCCCAGCGAACTTCTCCGAATTTGATCAAATAACCAAAGATTAGATTTATTTATCTATTTATTTGGAATAACTTCTTTCCCAGGCTGTTAATTTTTCGACACCCTTACACACACACACACACACACACACACATATATATATATATATATATATATTCATTGATGCATGTTTCATGAAATAATATAGACATGTTTTGTCTATTTCTTTTAAGTAAGTTCCTTTCATATTGTCTGATAAGCTTAATAACATTATCAGTGAAAGACGAAAGGAAATCACCATATTGATACATGTTTTAATCCAATCTAATCTTTTGGCTTACATAATCCATTATCAAATATGACAATTACTTTTCAATATATCAACCAATACGCGGACGAAACAATAATGATAGTCTGTTTTTATTGCATGAAAAGTTTCAAAGCAACGATTATAATTGATAACAGAAGCCATTGATTTATAACAACGGCTTCCCATACTTAATTCTTCTCGTTTTCACCCTCGCGTGGTCATGTGTGACGTCACGAGCTGCGACAGGATTTTCGCTTCCGCGTCTCGTATACATGATAAATTTTTAAGACTAGACGCCGGTAAATGTTCATTGTAACTAATGGCTGGGATCAACATGGGAAAGTCAGCATTGCATGATATAAAATCTTCCAAAGAAACTATTCTCCAGCGTTAACACTGTCACAATGAACACGGAAATAAAAAACATGATTGTGATGAAGCCTGGACTGAAATTGAAAACGCTATTGAAAAGGTTGTCAGTTTTATGGAAAGAATGCCAGCATTCAGCTATGATGATTGCAATAAGACACAAAGAGTTAAAAAGTGTCTTTCGTTTTAAAAATTTCAAGGACAAAAGCAAAATGAAATGCGAAATAAGTTGAGAATGACATTCGAAGAGAAAGAATCATCATGCAACAGCAATTAAAAAATCCTCGTTAGATTATTTGTTTTGCATACGTGGCATACTTAATTTATTAAATTTTCATTAACATTAAATAATTTATTTCTTTTTTCTTAAAATCATTTCCCTTATATTTCACTCACCATTAGCTTATTTTGTTTACTACAAAACATTGAAAATAAATGTTAAACCTGATTTATTTTAATCTAAATATAATCCCTCATATCCGGACTTTGTAACCAAATCCTCATACCCGGAAGGCATTCTCAGTCCGGTTGTCAGGAATTCTACTGTATTTAGAAGACATTTTGGAGTCTCAGATACAAAGTAAATGTTTTCTTTTTTAAATCTTCAGGAAAAAGCGGTTTTTAACGTTTCGTTCATTTTGCGACCACTTGGGTTACTTATGAAGTATTCAATATCGAATTTTTGCATGAGGTAATCAATAAGGATCGAACTCATTACTCAGTATTAATTGTCAGCCAAACTAGCCTTATAACCGAAGCGGGTGGCTTTTAATAGATATGAAGCAATTCGGGGTATAGGAATCGTGGAAGATACTTTGGGATATACATTTTTTTTATGACGGACTAGCATGAAGTTTTATTATTTTATCCATAAAATATCCCAAAAAATGAGTAAATTGATTTGTTTGTTTTTTACGGCTTATCGACCATTTGTAGGTCATTTAAAGCCAGAAAATAGTTTTAAGATTGTAAGAATTGTTTGGAGATAATAATGATACAAGTCCTATTAATTAACCCATAGTTAGGGGGAAAAGATTCATAACTTTCTCAAAGGTATTTGAGTGTAAATGAATATAACGAACTCGATTGAAGTTGGAACTCAAATTTCCACTTCCAAGCTGTTATCCATAACACCACCCGTACATCCAGGCTTAGCACCTAGTATTCCCAATCGGTCACCCATCTAGGTAATGACCTGGCTCGACATTGCTTAACTTCGGTGATCGTACGCGAACTGATGTTATGCCCGTAAGCCAGGAAATGAGCGAAATACAAAATGTGCTCATACATCGAGTTAGAAAAATAACACTTATAAGTATACTCGGACACTTAAAGTTGAATATATATGTATGTATGACGTCAACACTCAGAGGCGACAGAATGTTTCATGCCAAACACAATCATCTGGTCTGATGATTGGATTCAGCATGAAACAGTCTGTCGCCTCTAAGTGTTGGCTTCAATGTTTACTTTTTTATTTACATATGCTCTATTTCTGATATTGAGCAATTTTTCCCATAAACATAGCATACCATAAAACTATATTTCTTCATTCATATATATATATATATATATATATATATATATATGTATGTATGTGTGTGTGTGTGTGTGTGTGTGTGTGTGTGTGTGTGTGTGTGTGTAAAAGATATCCAATATAGTTTTGCTGTCCCATCTTGCTAGGAATCGCTTCTGTGGTAGTAAGTAGATGTTTTCAGTGTGGAGTTGCCAGTGCCACACCTAAACAATTTTTGAATTCAGAGTTCTTCTGCTTTTATATTTCTTCTCAACTAATGGTAAAGAGTCAAATTTGAAACTCGGTATGCTGTGCCCACTTTCTACGTCGATAACCATTCCGGTACGCGTTAAAAAAGGTCAAATCCGGAGTGGAGGCTTGCAGAGGCGTGACGCCTTCGTTTTCTGTAGTATCTCCGACAACATAAGTCACAAGACTTTAATCTTTCTTTTACCGTTGATTAAATTCCTGACATATAGAAATAGTGAGACAACTCCATTACAAAAAAATGTCTCCACTGAAAATTGTCCCTGAACGATTTCTTCATGTAATTCTAGTCAACCGGTAATGACCTTTCGAATTGATATTCGAAAAATATTTGGAAGGCCCAGAGTCAAAAGCTTATCATTACTGGAAAACAACGCCACAGAGTAAACCAGATCCCAACGACAAGATCTCAGTACCTACGCAGTTCCAGACTCTGTGTCGCTGCAGTTGAAGAATTCATAGATGATTATATAAGTTTTTCATAGATTTATTTTATAAAATTTTTCGGATTCTCATCTATATGTCAGGTAGACAACTAAACTATGTCAGGTAGACAACTAAACTATGTCAGGTGGAAAGAATTTGAGTGGTAAGCTTTCGATGTCCTGTTTTTTTTCTTTGACACGGACAACAAACTACAACTCTTCTACCACAAAGCAATTGTGCATGATTTGTATTTTTATATATTTAATATTCACTTATGTATAAAATGCCAACATGATGAAATTGTTTGTTCAGTTACCCACCTCTAACACGGTGTTTATTTGTTAAGAAACAAATATTATTTTTCAAATAATTTCCTCTATGGTACGGTTATTTCATTAAACTCATGTAAAAATGACTAACATCAAATGCTGGTACATATGTTAATATTTCGATACATTTACTGTGTTGTAAGCTCGATGTAATATAGTATCCGTTTCCACAACATCTGGTCGTCTGATGCCAAAAGTCTTTTTTACTATTAAAATCTATTAGTTGTATTTTTGCTATAAAAATTATTATTTTTTATATCTGTCTATATTTCTGAGAAGAGGTATTATGTACATTTTTTACATTATTCGGACTATTGTCTACATACATTAAAATAAATGGTTTTATCAAATAACTACGGCTTCGATAAGGAGTCTGAAGCATACATTAGTATCTAACGCCAGTAACTACAGCCTGTCTGAAGTTATTATGCAAATCAAATAAACCGCGCTATTTACATTATTCGGACTATTGTCTTCATCTTTGTCGAACTGAACCCTTTATGTCGCTCACTGGGGTAGACTGTTCTAGTTCCACGTGCCATGTTTAATGGATGTCAGTTATCAGTTATTTCCTGTTAATTTCACTCTGAAAGTTCTCCACTGCCTTAACCGCGTATTGAACTCACACTCTTTGGGTCCTGTCACTCAAGAATAATGGCACAGTGGATAAAGGCTTTTAGTTAGATCCAGTATGATTTCAACAGTTTACCCCAGTGAGCGAAATAAAGGGTTCACTTCGACATTCCAACCACCTGTAGAACGCCGGAGCGTTCAACGGCTGAAACCTTGTAATAAATATGGCGACAAAGATGAGGACAGTAGTCCCAATAATGTAAATATTTTTTTTATACTTTCATGGTGTTCTGATCTCAGTTTGGGCGTTCACTATTTTCCCATAGTTGGGACCCCTAACAGTTGCTACCACTCCGGATGAGGTTGGATCTGGGAACAGCAACAATTAAGAGGTGGTTCTATGCTCCTCAAAACCTCCAATCTTCCGATCAGAGGCCTTGCTGCTTGATGTAGTTTATCGTCATACCCAGGACGGATAAAGTGTTGTGTTAATGTTTATTTTCGCTTATATTATATACAAAAACTATAAAAATTGTTTTAACCGATTTAATTTTTTTTGTTGTTTTTAAATAAAGAAAAAAGGAATAAAAAATTATATATTCCTAAATAATCTTTGAAACATTCCATGCGCAGTGTTCTGCGTCCTTTGCTCAAAATTGTCACCATTTTTCTAATCTTCGTGAAGTACCGGGTGTGATTGGATATACTTTCATCTAAATAAGGCAAAAATGAAAATAACACCGACAACTTATTTTAAATGATATATTTAACAAAATTACACAAAATAGCTTGAAATACTAAAAACTAAATTTATTCAGCAAAATCGCCATTGGCTTCAGCTACGGCCTCCGGGCAACTTTGAAATCTCCGGGCAACTTCGAAATCTCCAGGCAACTTTGAAATCCCCGGCAACATTTCAGGACAGTCTCCTAGTTTAAATTTATGAATGCTACCATATCCCTTCAGTTCATCTTTGGTGTTACAAGGAGTTTTGTTGGCTTCTCGCTCAACTGCGACCCACACATAATAATCAAGTGGCTTACAGTCTGGAAAGTTAGGTGGCCAGATGTAAACGCTGACGTGGTCGCAGAAACTGTCCGACAGTCATGATTGGGTTCTCCTGCTTGTGTTTACATGGTGCAGTCTTGTTGCCAGACATAGTGTCTAATAGCCACCCTCTTGACCGAGGGTAACACTACCTCCTCAACACACTGGATGTAGGCTTATGTATTAAGTCTGAGGCCTCGTGCGAAGATGAATGAAGCCATAACGTTACCATCACTAGTGAACGCTCCAAACATCTTCGTAATCACCATTAAACTCATTCAACTCTTAATCGTCCGTACCACCCTCAGATTGACAGCCAAACTCTCTGAAATGTCCATATTGGAGCTTCCGACGCAAATGTTAATCAGTACAGGACGCCGTTTCCAAATTTCTGGCGGAGTGAATTGCTTTATGGTGCTTTTTTTTCTCACAAGCGGTGGCCATCTGACTCTACTATACTGTATAGTCGACAAAATCAAAAATAAACAACGCGCATGCGCGAAATTAAATATATAATATGGCGATAATTTACCCATAGCACCCCGCATGCGTTCAGGCTATACTCTGTCTTTGGCTTGTTTTTCCAACTTTGTTTTTTTGCAAGCATATACTCCAAGAAATGACCTAACCTCGTGAACCCTAGTATAAAATTTCCTATTAGTCATTTTCACTTGAATCCTAAACGAATGATGCGCGTGTTGCTGGAAAAGGTTTTAATCATCAACTGATGGTGTCTGCTGATCTCTAATGAAACTGTAGTTGATGATCTTCCTTGTTTAATGGGGCAAATACTTCCGAAAGTTGCCTGTAGGTTTGACATGGAGTCTTCATTCCGCGTAATTTTCAAACGAGTATACGTGATATCTGTGCTCCTCTATGGCAGGGGGTTGCTGCTCTATCCCCTCAAAGATGAAGAAAAGACTTGAAGCAACAGAACTGTGTTTCTACAGAGATATGCTTTGGATACGATGGACCGAACATGTGAGTAACAACAAGGTTTTGGAGAGAACGGAAACCAAAAGGAAAGTTATTCTCAACATCAAGAAGAAGCAGTTGAAATTTCTGTGGCACGTAATGAGGAAGGAGGGCTTGGAAAATCTGATACTCACTCGAGGGACAGAGGGTATCAGGGTATGTTACATAGTCGAGGGCTTGAGAGGATGGATGGCAGAATAGGGTTTAGAAGAAATAACGAAAAGACAGAAGATATAAGAGACAGGAAGATGTGAAGGTCATGATCGCCCACGTCCTGAATGGACACGATACATAAAAGAAGATCTTCATCTTATTTATTTTGACCCCAATATTTCCTCAAAGGCGTCTTCTTCCCACCCCTACCTCATGTTGATATTAAGTATTTTCACTTTTTCATAAATTCCTCGTGGAGTCCGCCTTTGTCGTGTCCGTCGTAACATTTCTCGGCAGTGTCCTTGAATTTATCTATTACCGTGTCTATTATCATTAAGGTCGGGTAAACATTTACGCTGCCATTCCCAAAGAAATTCTAGTCTAAATGCCAAAGATTTTATCGTGATAAAATTATTTCCTAAAAAAGGTGTGCGCCGATATTTCTAACACACACACAGAAATGGCTGTTTAGCAATAGTCAGCAGAGGCGAGTTACCAAGATGTCCTTTTATAGACAGTCGTCCTTTTTTTATAAATCGGGGGGGGGAATGGAGAGCAAGAGAAAGATGAATCTGATTCCCAGAGGTCACTTTTATCGGCAAAATTCATCAATAGGAAAAATATTTTTCATCAGCCAATTTATTTTTCTTTATGACCGAACAAACAATGGAACAAAAAAAAAATCGAATTAGAATTCATCGATATAACAAGACAAAATCGCTTGTAGCTTTTTTATTACTGGAAGTTCACCCAAATAGAAAGCTCAAGAACCAACCAAAGTAAACGTTTACTAAATTAGGTTGTTATATGACCGTCAGATTTATTAATCAATTTTTTACGGCTTATCAACCTTTTGCAAGTTTCCAGAAACTATTTTTACATTATAAGAATTATTTGAAATAATAGTTTTTTTTACTGCTACAAGTTCTACTAATTAACCCATAGCTGAGGGGAGAGGGAATGTATTCCTACCTTTTCTAAGTAGATTTGCGCGTAATTGAATCAAACGAAACCGACTGGAACTGGAACTCAAATGTCCAATTCCGAGCTGTCATTCATTACATCAACCAAACATCCAAGCTTACAGCACTTGATATTCCCAATAGGTCACCCATCTAGTTGATGACCAGGCTCAACGTTGCTTTACATCGGTGATCGTACGAGAACCGGTGTTTCAACGTGGTATGGACGTAAGCTGTATGAACATAAGCAGAGAAAGTGAGAATATCTAGGATAGATAACGGTTAGCCCTAAGAAGAGGTTAAGATTATAGTAATCTGAGAAGCATTCCTCTGTCTGAACTTCCTCATTACAAATGGAATACGAAGAAAATGGGGGTGATTTGACTCTGTATTTGACATAGAGAATTCTCACTGTAATGGTCTGAATAGGTAGAAGGAGGAAATTATTTTATGCAATTGCCAACTCAGTGCAAGGCCCAAAAGTACCTCATAGTAGAACTGATTCAGATTGTTTTACGGATGTAAGAGGAGATGGCAAGAAGTGTATATTATGAATATATGTAGGAAACATAATAGTTGACATTGGGTTTGAAGGAGAGATGGGAAAAATTTATTTTTTACTGCTAATCAACCCTTTGCAGGTTATTTAAATCCAACAAATATTTTTAGATTGTATGATTTCTTTTGTGTGATAATAATGATTTAGCGATAAAGGTTTTACTAATTAATCTATAACAGGGTAAGAAGAAGCGGATTCATAGCATTCCCAAGGGTATTTACACGTAAGTGAATATAACGAACCCAAATAGAATTGGAACTCGGCTCTCCAATTAACAATTCTGAGCCATTATCCATTACACCATCCGTACAACCAACCTTACATCTCCTGATATTCCCAAGCGGTCACCCATCAATGTACTGACCATGCCCAACGACGGGAAAGGAGAGAAGAAAAACGAAAGAAAGGAGGAAGAGAGAAAGAAAGAGGGTGTTTGGGGAAAGAAACGAAAATAATGTTTGTATCACTGGGATTAATCTCAAACCGCAACAAATAGGAATGAATAGTTGTGTGGCTGGCTTCATAAAATATTAGCGTTTCAGTTATGAAACACGAGTTCAAATTCTACCATTGCTGATTTGTCAATATCCATAAATCTGTGTCTGGGGAAACGAACCTGGAAATATTTTAAGCTAATAAAATCATCTGTGTATAATTTTTAGTGGATTCAGTTCTAAAGAGGGGTGCTCGATCACCATACAGAGTGTAATGGGTAAATCGTCGCCATTTTATAATTTTGATTTCGCGCATGCGCGTTGTTCGCTTTTAATTTTGTCAACTGGAAAGTATAGTAGGGTTAGTTGGGTACCACCTATGGGAAAAAAGAGCACCATAACGCAATTAAGTCCGCCAGAAATTTGGAAACGGCATGCTGTACTGCTTGGCATTCGAGATGAAAGCTACAATACAAATATTTCAGAGTGTTTAGGTGTCAATTTGAGGACAGTGCAGAGGATTCGGAAAGAGTTAGATGATATGTCAACATCATGGTGTTCACTAATGATGGAGAATTTATGCCTGCATTCATCTTCCCACGGGGTCTCAGACTCAACACAGAGGCCTACATCCAGTACCTTGGATAGGTGGTGCTGCCCTGGGTCAAGAGGTTTGCTGCTGGAAGACCCTATGTCTGGCATGAGGAATCATGCCACACAAGCCAGTCATGGCTGTCAGACAATTTCTGCGACCCCATCACCCTTTACATCTGGCCACCTAACTCTCCAGACTGCACCTCTTGATTATTATATGTGGGGCAAAGTTCAGCGAGAAACCAAAAAAACTTCGTAGAACACGAAAGATTAACTGAAACCAAGGAGGCCGTGGTTGAAGCCAATGGCGATTTTATTGAATAAATTTACTTTTTATCGCAAGATATTTTTGTGTAATATTGGTAAAGATATCCGTTAAAATTAGATGTCAATGTTATTTTCATTTCTGCGTAATTTAAACAATTTCTTCATCGCATTCTGTATATAGAAATCGAGGTGCGAGACCATTATATATATATATATATATATATATATATATATATATATATAGGGTGTAGCAAAAATACTTTTACAAAATTTGAGTAAAATCCATATAAACATTTGTCTGCAAATCCTTCGTTTTTGAATTATATTAAGTTGAAAAAAAAAAACTCTACTGTAGATGGTGCTGTGTTGCTATAGAGACTAGGTTACGTTTGTCATTCGTGTACACTTGTGGCTAGTCTGTCTTCACTGTTTAACGTGTGTAGGAACAAGTTAACTGAGAAGTGTTCCGTTTAACGATGGAAGGATATTCAAATCGCGTGCAGGCAGATATGATTTTATATACGGCTAAGCGAATGGTAATGGACGCGAGGCTGCACGGCTGTATCAGTTTGAATTTACAGACTCATTTGCAACGTGTAGTCTTTCGCCCTCTGATCACTCAACGTGGGAGAACTTTTGCCGATGATCCGTTGTTTGGCCCTTCAGTCTTGTTTATGGATGAGACAACATTTGGAATAGATGGAATAACAAGTCTACACATCCAACATTTGTAGGCAGATCGGAATCCCTAGGCTAGACAACAGCATCAGTTTATGATTAATATGTGGGCTGGAATCGTAGTTGACTGTCTGACAGGTCCATATGTTCTCTCAGTACGTCTTATAGGATCTGACTATAGGGACATTATTTCGAACACATTTCTAGACCTGCTAGAGGATGTACCCTTGCTAATACGAATGGAACTCCAACACATTTTAGTCATATTGTTCGCGATGCACCGGATGATATCTATCATTAGCAGGAGAGGAGCAGTTCTATGGACTGCACGTTTCCCCGACCTCAAGCCTTTGAATTTTTATCTGTGGCGGCCACATAAAACAATTGGTTTATCCAGCAGACATTAATAATGCAGAGACACTTCATCAACGTATCGTGGGGGCCACTAGTACGCAGAAGGTTTACAGGGAGTGAAAGTGAGGGAAATGACTGAGTATTGGGAGGATTGAGAAAAGGACAAAAGATGAACGGGATTCAAGAAGATGGCGATTGACATTGCATTTAAATTTTTGAAGATTGTAGTTATCAGGGAATCAAGTAAACAGAAGGGAGTTCTACAGGCGGGAAGTGCGGGAAAAGAAACTGTTGGAGTAAAAGTGGCGGTTATATTTAGCTATTTCAAACTTAAAAGGGTAGTACGTTGATGTCAATCTAGTGGCCCGCTTAAATACATGCATATATATATATATATATATTAAATACATGCATATATATATATATTAAATACATGCACATATATATATGTATATATATATATATATTAAATACATGCACATATATATATATTAAATACATGCATATATATATATATATATATATATATATATATATATATATATATGTGTGTGTATGTGTACGTGCATGTGTGTTTATTTTTCACTATGTCTATAGATTGACACAGTTACTAGATGAATTTTAATTTAAAGTTTCATTTTATAATGATGGGTTTATGTGATTATTGGAATGGGATTAAGTGCATTGATAAGGAAGGAAGGGGAAAATATTGTGAAACAAAAATTTTTTGTGTAAAAATAAAAGATTTTTTTATACCATTAAGCTTTGGACTTATTAACTTGCTAACGTACACACACACACACACACACACACACACACACACACACACACACATATACACATATATATATATAAAAGAAAGAACAGTAAGATATATAATCCGGTGTTCTTATAGATATTTTTATTTTTACAAAATAATGCTTAATGTAAATTTACAGTGCATTAATATTATAAATTAATTGATTTAAAATGTGTTTTTTTCGATACACAGACACACAGACACAGACACACACATACACACACACACACACACACACATATATATATATATATATCGAGAGAAAGAAAGATTTTCTTACCTGAAGTGACTTTCATGTCATTCTTATATATATATATATATATATATATATATATATATATATATATATATATATATATATATATATATATAAGAATGATATTATGAAAGTCACTTCAGTTGAGAAAATTAAGCTCACCACTCATTGCTGGTTCTCTTAGTCTTTCTCTCTTCCTTCCAATATACATGTCTGTGTGTGTAGGTGCGGTGTGTACGTGCATGTGTGTGTGTGTGTGTGTGTGTGCATTCTGCGGAAAGGCAAAGGTACCCTCAAGAATGTCTACATCAGATAATGATCCTGAGGTCATAAATCGATTTATGTTTGGCAAAAAAACAACAAAAGCATCACTGATCCAAGTCTTTCCAGGAATATCTATTAACACTTCGCACGCTTGATTATGATGTGACTTCGATTATGATTGCCACACCAAAGTAAATGCTGTCGAATTTATTTAGCTTTTGTCTGAAACATTATGACCCAAGTAATCTTTGGTACTCAACGAACTCAGAGTCTATAAGAGCCCGCTAATAAAATTTACCATTCGTTCCTTTCGATATGTGTTTCACTTCCTAATTATCTCATTATTGTTCATCAGCCAATTGAACGAACGCATTCACTTTACTATAAATACTGGAATATGATAGAAAAATACCTTAAATATAAACTTGGCTACTTCCTTTGCATACATTATTTGCTGACATAAAATATATGCAATATATTTTCGTTTTAAATCTTAAGAAAACATATTTTTAACGGAGATAGTTAAAAGTAGCTGAATAGTTAAAACGTTCGCTTTCTGACCCGGTTTCGAATCTCACCATGGTCGATTTTTCCGGAAGTTGACTTCTTGATGTGTTCGATCTGGGGGAGGCGATCTCAGCGCGTGGCACCTTTGGAAAGTACCTGAAAACCATACCACGGTTTGACCCAAGCCTTGTGCGTGAAACCGGATAGACGGAACTCCTGGGAGCCGTCGGTAGTTGTGTTAGCACGAACTCACAAGTCATCGTGACCGAGGGCTTCATCGTGCTAGCCTTATTCAGACTGTTGATCACGCACAATAACACGCTATCTCTCAGAAACTGTAACTAAGGTCCAACCAGCATAGTTGCAGTATAAAGCACAAGTGGACTCTGTGGGTGTCGCAAAAACACATATGTGCCTGAGTAGGCGTCTGCAATGAGGATTAGCTAGACGCATTTAGCCCCGTTTTTATATTCAAAATGCGTTTGAAAAGCTTAAGAAATAAATTATTCAGATATTTTTC